AAAAAAAAAAAGAAGGAAACGGTGACTTAAAAGAAGGCAAATAACCTATCGGTTTCGACAATACTAAAAGTGCATATAAAATTGTACAAAAAAAAAAACAATAAATTAAACTTTGATAAAGATCTATCCATTTGCATCATTTACTGATACAACATCAATGAAACTTTTAACTGTTAACCAGCTTTACAAAAAAGGCACTTCTGAATTACTAATAGTAATAGAAACTTAGATACTTACTGAGGAATAACATATGTATCAAAGCCTTTGCTTAAGAAGTGATGCAAATTTTTTGTGTCGACCTGTAAACGACAATGATAATTGAGAAAACAGTATTGCAGCAATAAATAAAAAAAAAAACAAATTCGAAATAGTTATAATACAACATCAAAAAAAAAATTTAACAGCTATTTCTTTGCTATTAATAACAAATAAAAACCTCAACAAAACTTTTTCTATGCTTCTTGAAAGTTCGACTGTCACCATCGGCTGCCAGTATTCCTGGATTTGTAATTGCACAATTCACGATAACTTCGTAATCATAGAAAAGCTTCAAAAGCAACATTTAAAAAATTTGTTAAGTCATAATGACAATTAACTGTTATTAAAATTATTAACAAGCTGCTAATTTCACTTTTTAATTTTTGATATTTGTCATTTGAACTGATCAAATAAGTGAAACTGAACCTACAAAACAATAACATCTGTTATCCTGATGAAAACAAATGTAGCCAAAGATTCACCTGTGATAAAGCAGTAATTACTTGATCTTCAAATTTTACATCGTAATTTTCAAGTTGCTTCTTAAGGTATAACGAATACTGTTTCGGAACTACGGAATATGTGGTGTAATGTACGGCAAATAAGTGTGATTCTTCTTTTTGCGGTACAAATTGACGCATTTCGCTGATGCGAAGATGATGAAAATTATAGACCATATTGAAATTGTTTTCTTCCTAAACCCTACAGTTCCGTATTTTGTTGATTAGGGAGGGGTTTTAAATATCAATAAGGCCATATAAATTTACAATAATTAGATCTTTGCCTAACAGCTTTAAATGTTATTTTTGAAAGATGATATGAGAAGATAATGTTCACGTTTTATAACCTCGGTAACAAGGCGAGTGAGATTGGTGCCTAGAATATAGCCAGACAGTAGGTTGACACCGGTAAGACTAGGATCTTTGCCTTCTCGATAAATAGTTTCCAAACGTTCAAATGTTTTCCTGGCCAACCTTCTAAATTAAGCTTATTTTTTTGTCCAATTATCGTAGTAATTTTTCTAGAAAAACTTTTCAAAAAAATTTTGTGTTGCCTTTGACGTGTGTAAAGTTATGTTCATTAGGTGACGCTTTTTCTTCTCCATTTGCTTTTCATATTTAGCATCAAAGAATATCTAAACGTTTATACGTGGTTAATCTGCCAAAAAAAAAAAAAGAGCGTTCAGTTAATAAATGTAGTCAAATTTGTGAAGCAGTTATAAAACTGCAAAAGAAGTAAAACTGGCAAGTTATAGATAATTTTTTTTAGATTCAGTCTTTCTTGGACCAATTTGTTTTTCTTTTTTTTTGCTGTAGTTGGATGCCTATAAACAGCAT